CCGATGGGCCCTTCGGGACCAACGAATAACAGCCCAATTGGAAGTTTGAAGGGCCACATGGGGTCCGATGGGCTCAAAGGGTCTGTACAGGTCACACAAGGATCTCGTTCCGTAAGGCCATAACCTCAACTGTCTGTCAGAGGGCTTCTCACACCACTTGAGAACCCTTGGGACAATGGTTGCCTCTGCTCCCGCCAGACACTACCAAGGCCAAAGAGTTGGCTTCGTGTCGGTCTGAGTTCTGGGGGTCCATTCTCCGAAAAGGAGCAAGGCCGGGGCCCGTGATTCACCCAGGAATGCGAGAGACACATTTTTGGTGTCGAAATACGCTGAATAGACGTCTTAGATGGTAAAGAAAATTGCGACTCGACTGCACGACATGCCGGAAAATATCGTCGGAAAACCTTAGGGGGGGGAGGGGGGGGGGGGCATTCCCTATCGGGGTGAGGGCTATACTATTACACCATGGGGTGACTGGGCCTCCAGATACGGACGTCCAAACCGTCAGAGGTGTGCCCTGCCAGCCTCTCCGGGTAGCAGCCGGCTCTGTCGGGAGCCTAGCGCTTTGTGTCTACGCATTCAGGCATGGGCAGTGGGGAATTAATCGCAGCCTCGGCTTCAGAAAGGGGAGCTGACGATGACAAATGCGGACAATGTGACGATATCGATCTGCCCCGCGCGGACAATGTGACGATATCGATCTGCCCCGCGCGGACAATGTGACGATATCGATCTGCCCCGCGCGGACAATGTGACGATATCGATCTGCCCCGCGCGGACAATGTGACGATATCGATCTGCCCCGCGCGGACAATGTGACGATATCGATCTGCCCGCGCGCCATGTTCCAATGCCTTCATGCGATGAGCACCAGACATAGTGCGTCAGGGAAGAGCGGTGCGATCAGTGTTATTGGCTAACTCCGAACGAAAGCTCGCGGTCGGAGCCAGCTTATCCTGGCACAGATATGGAGCAGCATCTGTGGCGCACTGAGGTCTGAAAGAACTGAGCTAGATCGGAATGTTTGCTTGATACAAGTACGCTTATGCGCTTCAACTACGCTATATTACAGATACCAAGACTGCTTTTCCTGCATTCTGTTTTAGCCACGGTAGACTTGAAGACACTTAAAGGTATTGGCCAATTTTTAACGATCGGTAGATGCGAGTCCTTGAAAATGAGAGGGAGAAGGGTAAATGAAAATGCGACCTTACTGAGGGTGCTGCAACATAAAGGCTGCAACGCTAAGCTTCTTCTAAGAACTTCTATCTTCGATATAGAAGATAGAAAATGTGTTTGACCCCAAAGATCGGTGGCACGTACACACCCACACACTCTGTTCCTTTCGTAAAATATCACACCGCGGAATTTCGATGTGAATTACACAGTGCACTGATACAGTCATCATGGACGTCGAAGCCTTCCGCTCCACTTCCTTTCTCGTGTAGTTGGTAAGTGTTCAAGCATGTCAATGTGTGAAGGATACTGCACTTGCCAGCTGCAGAGCTGGCAAGTGCTTGCTAACGTGCAAGAGCTTGCTAACGTGGGCTGACAGGTGACCTGGTGCGCCGCTGCTCCTTAAACTGACCCTTGCTTGGGCTTTCACTTGTTCGTACAAGCATGTGCATCGCATGTCACACAGCCTGGCGGTGCTGTATGGGGTCCGGACCATGATCGGGACCGGCACCAGGGTCCGCATCTATAAACGGAGGGAACAACTGATCAACTTGTTCACGTCCGACTCGCCCATGTGTTCAAGATAATCGATTCCATCGCGATGCAGCCAAGTTTTGTGTCCATCAAGCAACACCAGACTGTTCATTATCGATATGGCCCGAAATGCGCGCACGTAGGAAGAAAACTAGAAATTTTGAGTGCTACCACCGGTGGACCGAGCCTCCAATCAAGGAGAGGCCCTGAAATAGAACCGCTGGGCAATAACTCGTGTGCTAACTCGCGAGCTACGCTGTCATCAGAACTGATCAAGCGATAGCTGTTGAGTGCTTCCTCTGGTTCAGGGCTTGGAAGAACATCAGGTGTGAGTATGTTGGCTGCGCGCACTGTGCTACGTTGGGGATGTAAACATGGATGGTGAATACCGTGTTACAGGTTTTGTGACAGCCACATCAACTAATCTTGAGACGATTATTGTATCGCTTTTCCTCAGAAATACACGCTTATGCCGACAACTTTCGTCAGCGTTTTTCAACTCTATCTGTTTGACATGGTTGGACTGGGATCTACTCTGGTACCAAATCTGAAATACAAGAAAGCTAGGACAAGCAGAAACTAAATTCGTCAGTCGTCAGATCTATCAAAATAGCCGCTAAATATCGCCGCGGAAGAGTTTTATTTCTTGGCAATGCATCTATACATCATTATACGCTTTTAACTTTGGTCTCATGCCACGACAACGTATTGATTGGCAACCATGCATTCCAAACCCTTCCACGTCATATTTTACCATGGTCCACATTGTTTCGATGAGACCGAATCATGCACCACCTCAAAGCACCTGCTGATGAAACAAAGCGCTTCCGAGTATAATTTTCCTTCTATGGTGGTAAGTCTCCTGACGTTTCATGGATTTCTCTACCGGTTATCTTAATTTTCACGCACTTCAGATTCGTTCCCAGCGTATGGCCATGTCGAGTGATTACTGGCATGGAACAGGCTGTTGTGTACCTAAATTTAGTACTTTATCATATACAAATCACTGCAAGTGTTAACCGATGTTTCCGAGGCAATATTTGGTTGTGGAAGGACTTGAAATCCATAATTTTATGCGACTGCTTTATCGTGGCAGGTATCTTGTAGACGTCAGCTTTTGCAAAGCGTCTGGCTAAGTTGATCGTTTGGTGTAACGAATTTAGGTGTCCGTTGTAAGGTCACTGATCTATTGCGGGTCAAAGTCAGGCCATGGTTTCAGCAAAGTCAATTTCTAGGAAATCGTTCAATCTAATGCAACAACGGGGTGTTTGACCAAGATGTACATCTTCAAGAAGCTTTATTAGGCAACACGAGCACTGAATGAGCAAATCAAGTTGACCTAAGGTCATGTATGAAGGTCAGGCCAAGGTCAAAACCAGCATGTTTTAATACTGCAGGGCTTGTTGTATGGGGTATTTTCCGATGCTCGTTTTGAATTCATCGATAGCAGGAACTGCATCATATACCTTCAATTGACTTCTCAGAGGTGATAATAGGTCATTGACGTAAAAGGACACAGGTCGACAATTTTTAAAGAACATACTGCCGAGCATTATCCTTGTCCCTCATTCAAATGCAAAGCTCAGGGTAGTCTTGTATGATTTTGGTCACTATGACCTTGACCAAAAGGCCAAGCAAGGTCACTCAACTCAAATGAGCTTGTGACCTTTTGCTCAGAAACAGTTATCTAGCTTCTGGGAGCGATTTGGAGACCAACCTGAAATTTGATCTTGTTTGATCTTATTTTGCCCAAAGGTCATGACCCAGTGACCTCAAACTTTGACCCAAGTGAGTTCGCGTACAGGTCAACACACCCCGCAAATTTGTTATCCCAGCTTTCTTAGTTCTCAAGATCTTAGCGGGGTCAAATTGACCCCCACCCCCACCCGAGCGAAGGTAATCTAGCCGGTCACCCGGACGCAAGTTAATGGTGCGGTCGGAGACTGGGCGGCGTAATTAGCTAAACAGGCGCTATTTTGGGGAAGGCAGCGGCCATTTCACCGCCTATCATGACCTGTGGCCGCTGAAAGATGTCCAACGGTCCCAGGCCGGGGGAGTTCGCCGAACTGCTCAGCCCGGCGTGATCAGCGCTGCCGGCTTGACAGGGAACATCCGAACCGAAGCGATGTTCTCAAACCGCCAACTTACGAAACAGTCCAGTGTATTGCCATAACAGTCACGCGTGTCTCTTGGTCTCAGACGACAAGCTATTAGCACATTAAACACAACACCAAACTGACAGTGGACCGCCACGCCGGCGGCAGCTCTTTACCGTCGAGGTTTTTAGCCATGCGTCCGATCACCCTTGCTCAAGCAGCGTTTATTCCACTGGTGCCTAATCCGATCCCACCGCATTTAACAGGCGTCTGAATCTGAAATGCACGGGGAAAGGAGGAACAGGCGCGAAACTCATCGTTTGTTTCCAGGCTTGTCAAAATAGCCCGTTAAGTTTACTCTGAAGTCGTTGTTGTTTCATCATGAACCGATCCTTCATTTTACGCTTGTGTATTTCGTGTCATGGGACCGATGATGACACAAAAGCGCCTCCAGAGTGCAACGTTGCAACTATCTTGACAACCCTGACGACAAACCATGGGTTTGGCTCCTGCTAATTCTTTTTTCGTTAATTTCAGGTTTAACACCAGATTAGGTTCTTGTCTAATAACGCTTGCGTAAAAAGGATTATTAGGTGGCTGCTGTATGGACCCATGTATGCATGAGGCTTCAAACTGGAGCGTCAAAGACAATCACAACCTTCGTACCTCGAACGCTTCGTACAAAAATATGTCTCCTCATTGCGAAAATCGCAAAGATGCCTTACATTTCGACGGCCGAAATAATGTATAAGGCATTCTGGAGAGCATTCAGTGTGTAAACATTTGTTATGGATTCCGAAGTTGATTTATATGGGAGAATATTGGAAACTGAAATAAAACACCGTGCAAGAATCTATGGCAGGATAAGAAAAAAATCGCATGCCGAGCTAAACATAACCGACCGCTTTTCTGACAAAGCAAGATGTACAGGACGTATATCGACAAAAACAATCTTCTGCCGACGTCATAACACGGCGCACATCACGCACCGGTAGCGGATAGCACTGCCCCACCGGGTAACAACCAACAACACGTCCTCAATGGACAGTTCGGTGCCAATGAGCGCCGTCTCCTACAAACACCGGCACGTCGCGGCACCACCCGTTCCCACCTCCCTATTCCTCTCATATTCGCGACGCCCGTCTAACATGACGATGATTTGTACACTGAGGAGGGGACGGCGACCGCGACCGCTCACACGTCTATCTCGTGACTGGCGCCCGAGAACTGCATCACCGCGTACTCGGTCGGCACGTACTCCTTCTGCACGCGGCTCGGCGCGCGGCACGGCTCGCCGCGGCCGGGCGGGCACGCCTGCGTGCCGCACGCCGCGTGCGCCGGCGAGGGGCCGGCGCGCGCCCAGGGCCGCGGCGCGCTGCCGGAAGCCGGTCGCTGTTGCGGCGGCCGCTGCTCACTGGCCGGCACCACGTCAACGTGGCAGAGCCGCGTGCTGCCCGGCTGGCTACAGCTGTAGAAGCCCCGGCTGGCCGCAGCGTGTGGCCCCGGCGGTGTCTGGAGGCACGAGGGGAGGAGCGGTCAGACGGTGGGCTGCCGTCGCTAGCCGTTTAGAGCAGAGGCAACCGCAATGGGTTGTGTGGAAGATTCGTGTCCATGTGTTCGAGTGTGTCTGAGCGACGTCCCGGTCACCATGGCGACGATTTTTGGCAAGCTTGTAGCCACAATGCTTGCGACCAGGCGACATTTCTGATATATCAACAAAACAGCTGCGATTACCCTAAACTTTCACGACCTGAGAGAGTTTTTGCCTTCAATATGGATCCCTGTGAAAGAAGAGTACATCACGCTCCAATATTGCAGCCGAGGTAGTGGTGAGGCGGCATCACAAGCCGCCACTTAGCACGTACTCCTTATAGCACGTCATCATAAGCTGTTCTGACTCAGCGGCGTCTCGCTGGAAAACAGCGAATGCGTGGGACGCCGCAGCTGATTGAAGAAGCATAACTATCGTTTCTTGAAAGCCAGGTGTATTGTGTAGTGGCGAGAGGTTGTCTGCCTGTCGCTTCATAGCTACGAGTATCTTTGGCTGACGTCAGTGATGCTGATGGATCAGTGTTTACGTCCAGATGGGTGTCCTAGATCATAGAAGCTGTGTGCGCAAGTTTTCTGTTGGTCAAACATGATATAAATGCGGAGTTAAGCCAGCATGAAATGAAGGGCAGGAAGCAAAACAATGACACAAAAGGCAAACAGCCAAAGTGACATATTGGGGGAGGGGGGGGGGGGGGCAAAAGAGGACTCCAGAGCAAAGAAGTGCGTTATGGCAAACACGAGTCCATCAACAAACCTGGCCTAGCGACTGCGGGCAGAACCTCTCCACAGCATCGGTGGGCGGGCTCTGTGACTGTAACTGACTTTCAGTCTGATTTTGCGAGCGTTTTTGGCGCTCAGCTTGGTTCTGAGCCTGTCGCTGGCGCGCCCCGTTCCCTCCGTGCGGCAAGCTAAGGTTGTGGTAAGGCGGCTTGGCGGCCGGGCCTCGTTGCGGGGGCGTGGGCCGCTCGCAGTCGTTATTGTTGGCTTCGCTCTGCGTGGTCTCGTCGAGCGTGGTCGGCGTGTCCGGCAGGTCGGGCGACTGTGGGATGGGCAGCAGCTGCTGTCCGTGCCGCTCCGGGTCGGCTCGCTGCGACCGCGTGGATCCGTACTGGAAGCTGTGCTGGGAGCGCATGGAGCCGTACTGCGGGTTGCCCTGGGAGAAGGTGCTGCCGTAGCCGGAGGAGCCGTTCTGACTCAGTTCGCTTGGTGGTCGACTCTGGCTACTGTCTGTCGGTCGACTCTGGCTACTATCTGTCGGGTGACCGTGGCTTGGGTTTGACGGGAGACTCTGCCTGCTGCTGACCCTGCCACCTGCACCACCTCCAATAGGCTGGGAAACCAAACAGACAACCGTGCTACTAAACTAAGCATAAAAACATGCTTGCTGGTGAATAGGTAACACCGGTGATCTAAGAGTAAGACGTGACACAAACAAGTCAATACATCCATTCCATGCCACTTAAATCCAAGAAGACCGGTGAATGCACGCTGTCTTATAACGCAGGCGTAGCGATCAAACACGAAGTGATGCGCATGCAGCACAGGACATAGTGCCAATATAATGCGTTTCAGCCAGATGGCAACGAAAAAGCGACTCGACTCAGAGAGAAGCAAGCAGTGTCTCATAATACCGCCTTAAACATGAATTGCATACAGGGATCAGTCAAGCAGTACTCCACGCTGCCTGCTTCAGTAGTGTGGCCCGGTTAAGCCCAGCCCGCTGCGGCGCCGGGACCATCACAAGCTCAGGGCGCACCAGTGGCGCCACCTGCGCCGCCCGCACCCACCTTGCACGGCGGTCTGTGCAGGCTGAGGCTCTCGTACAGCGGTCGGCCCTCGACTGAGCTCGAGCCGGAGCCGTTCGTCGACGACTTGGTGCTGGAGTCGCTCCCTGTCAGCGGCGCGGTGTCGTTAGTCTGGAGGCGCCGGGTAATGCTGGATGACGACTCGCTACGAGAGCTGCGCGCTGCGTCCGAGCAATGATGGGCGTCCTATCCCCAAGGCACTGATTTGGTCACGTGCGGTTAGGACACGTCCGGGACTGTCCTTACAGCGAACAGTTCGAGCAAACTGGTCCCTCCCAGCCAAAGAACTCCACACAAATGCAGCATGATTGAACTTCACGGCACCGGAAACTTGCCTCTAATCCAAAGAAGCGGTACATACCACGAGGCAAACTCGCAGCCGTTGTAAGCTACACACCTGCCATCTGTCGGTCAGCCGTGATCTGACCGAGTGCGGCCGCGTCGCTGAGCTTGGTAAGCGACTGCACACTGGTCACGTGCACGTGCACACCGGGACGGATGGGCCACTTGTGCAACGGCTGAACTCCCTGACCACTGGCAGCATCGCGCGAGCTGCGCACAGCAAGTGAACATGCGATCCAACCAATGAAATGCAGGACGGAGGAGGCGGACATGCAAGCAAACTCACGTTGAACAGACGTATCACTACTCAGCAATGTAGTAAAGTGTAAACAAAACATAAACACTATGCAATCACTGAAACGAGGGGGTGGGCAAAATCTCCTGGCGACACTGGCATCATGTGCCGGATATATCAGGTTTTCCTTTTAGGTAGCATGCCAAAAGCAAACTAAGGTAAAACACGTATTCGGTGCCACAACATGCACGGCGTTGCAAAGAATGCTCCATCTCCGCTTGTGAGTGGAGCCGCTTCTGTCAGACTGAACTAACGCTGTCAGCTGCGCAGAGAAGCCGTTCACGTTGCGTTGCTATGCATTGTACTTTGGATGCTTCGGATGTCAGTTTTGCTTATTTGTGCGACAAAAACTTCAACTATTCATGCAGCTTAAGCACCGGGGGGCGTGCACCAAACTGGCGGCCGAGCAAGATAACATTGCTTGTGTCGGATGCGTGCACACATAGATACACAACTTATAAGCAATACAAATCTAGCATTTTTACTTTAATGTTCATTGTTGTTTAAGCTTTCGGGGAATTATTCATCACTCACCAACGTTTATCATTGCCAACCGTGGCGCACCATTTACGGGAAAAAGAAGTATACGCGGTTGAAGAGCAAAAAAGCTGCATGCAGCATACCGTGTTCGTTCTGAATAAAAGCTATACATACTGAAGGCACTGGTGTCACACCACCTTGGGAGGGTTACGAGAAGCATGCCGTCAGTACGGAGCTTTGTTACCTGGCAGTTTAACGATGTCAGGGTTGGAGGGGGGCCCCGGAAGCAGAGAGGGCCGAATCAGAGCCCTCTCCTCTCGATGGTAAAAGCTACACAAGAAACGAGAGCGTCAGAGGAAGTCCAGCTGGAGTAAACTGGCTGCCCAACCACCGAAAGAGTGACTGAAGAGTCAGCAGGTCAAGGAAGATGAGCTCCAGCCGCGAACGGAAAGTCTCCAAACTGTTAAGCTATTAATATGATTGTTTATATAAGCTCCATGCACAATGGTATGCAATCGCGACTTTCGTAGATTCCAAGTGACGATTCCGGTAACACAACAGCAGTTGAATTGACATGAATGGAGGTAATGCGTTCTTCGCGAGCACCAAGCCACGTGAGAGAATAAACGAAGAATGGCTTACAATTCCCGTACCATGATGCTTGCCTGGCATTAAAATAGACGCACCGAACCAAAGCAAATTTGATTGGCATACAATTCAGACTAAATGACAGAAGAACATCCTTAATTTGATTACAAACCTCACCAAAAATGGTGCGGTAATTTACTCACGCATCTCTTCCCTGTAGCGGGTCAGGAACGCCATCTGTTGGAAAGACCAAACAGGTAGCTAACAACGAATATCGCCAACTGACCTCTGTCACAGTTGATCTTCTACTCCAAGCGACTGGAAACAAATGCACGACACCAATCATGCTGTTGAAAATTTTGATCTTAGTCTTACGCAGATCTTATCTTTGATGAAGCGATAAAAAGCAAGGCCGAAAGGCGAACTCAACGGACGCCTACCCAAAGAGAGTAATTAATGAGATCAACCCAACTGAAGCAATAAAAAGAACGAAATCTTCACTGTTAAAACGAATCAACCAACTACAAGGACGATGGCAGGCACAAGATCATCGATCTTCCTCGGTGTCAAACGCTTGTATGTGACGCGCAGTTGGGGCTAATCAGGCGTGTGATGACAACAGGACGTAAAACACTTTACGACAGGCGCGGCAGATTTACTGCCGCGCGGGCATCATATTACGCCGGCGAATAGCAATGGGGCTTTATCTCGCAGGCTTAAAAGTTTGGGAGTGATTATGCACAGCAGAGGATCCCCGTGGTGAATGACATCCGCAGATAGCAGGCACCCCGGCATGCCATAAAACCGATACAGCATATTTCCAGGAATTTATTCGCACAGCCCATCCGATAATCCGTTTCCGTGGTTTGATTTCACGCCTGATGGTTGCCATTTGTTCAGCGTCAATTTCTAACGCAGCCGCGACGATTTCAAGTGAAGTTTGGCAGGCACTCATTAAGCCTCCCAAATGGAAGGCAAAGCACGCCACGTGACGGCCATTTAGCCTTGCAGCGGTGAGTTACGGGAGAAGGAAACTTTGCAACGTAAAATGAAGACGTCGCCTGTCGCTGCTATGCTATCATCGCCGGTCACTGCTATGCTGTCATCACCGGTCCCAGAGAGACCGCGACAGAGAACATACTCAAGTAGGACTACTCTCTCTCTCTCTCTCTCTCTCTCTCTCTCTCTCTCTGTCTCTCTCTCTCTCTCTCTCTCTCTCTCTCTCTCTCTCTCTCTCTCTCTCTCTCTCTCTCCCTCTCTCTCTCTCTCTCTCTCTCTCTCTCTCTCTCTCTCTCTCTCTCTCTCTCTCTCTCTCTCCGGAGACATTCCTGCGAGAAATTACTATCAGCCACACTGATATTAGATAACTATTAGAACGCTACGTAGGCTGTATGGTTGTGCGTGTATTTAGAAATACATATATATATATATATATATATATATATATATATATATGTGTGTGTGTGTGTGTGTGTGTGTGTGTGTGTGTGTGTGTGTGTGTGTGTGTGTGCGTGTGTGTGTGCGCGCGAGTGTATTATAAGAGTGTTTCAGGAGCAGGCCTTCTCATGCACACTGTTGGCTGTACATCACATGCGGAATTTGCTGCAGCAAATTCGGCGTTTATGAACTTCTTGGTAGTTTGTTCGAGGCTTTGTATAGTGCGTTTGTCTTTTTCGGTGAGTCGTTACAGAATGCTACCATACTTCACCTATTTGTTCAACACTTCGAACAGTTTCATGCTCATTTTCAGGATAACCAATGCACTATAAACACGCAGTGACAAGCGTAATACACACATACAACACAACAAACACTACGAGTTCGACTGACAGGACAGACGCCCTACGAGCCGTAATGCAAACCTGCTGGACCAGTGGCCTTTTAACTTGCTGGGGTGAAATGTGAACTGTTATTTTTTTAAATGCCTCGGGCATGTTTTTTTAGGATGCGCTGAAACCAAACTTCAGTATATGCACTGTACTTGTGACTGCATGCTTAAAGTGCATTCATGGTCCTGATAGTCATCATGAAGCTCAACGAAACATCGAGCAAATGGATAAACCTTGGTAACATTCTGTATCAAGGCACCGAAAACGGCAAGCGCACCATATGAAGCCTTGATTTATCTTCCACGAAGGTCATTAACATGCAACTTGATGTGGTGTACAGTCAAAAATGCATATATATATATATATATATCGGCCATTCTTAGTTCAACACTACGCAACTGTGCGTAGCACGGAAACACCATGAAGTAGTCTATGAGTCTATTCTCTTCCTGGCAGCAATAGTCGCGAGGAACTACGCTTTAGACCGCCATCACATTTAATCGTGATCCGTGCCTGGCTGATCCCAGCGACGTGCTGATACCCATCCCGGCATTATGCACGAGCGGCACTAGAGCTCCGCATCGCATCCGGTTCAAACGGCGTCCGATCTCCGGATCAGCATTTTGAGAGCAAGCGCGTCCGACGTTATGCTCGCTCTGAATAGCATATCACCCACAAAGCCTATTTACCCGGAGGCGGATTCCATCCGGTATGCCGAGGCCTAAGGGCGCGACAGAGACAGATCCTGGTGCGCCAGCCGTATGATAACGCTGTCAAACTCTGTGGGCGGCTGTACTGGTTCGGAAGCCGAGGCCTGTGCAGACATTGGCGGCGTGCTCGACTTGGCATGACCGATATAACAGCTGTCGGATTATCTGGCGAGCACGAGGACATCGCATGCGACACTGTGTTGACTGCGCTTTCGCTTTTGCTTACAGTGTCGCTGACACCGTCACGGCCGGTGACTCCTGTCAGCTATCTGGCTTTGTCATCTGTTGCTGGTGGCCACATATACCGATAACATATCGAGATCGTAGATTGCAGATCAGTTCGGCGCCAGATTATTCACATTAAATGCATCACCCCGTGAAAGACGTCCGCACAGTACTCCGATCGTCGATGTGTCCGCAGGTAGTGTGACACCAGAAGTCACTACATTCTTAAACACATTCAACACGGGACAATGCGTCCCTCAGGTTCAGTTCACACTGCTCCGACAAGGTAATCTGGGGCCCCAGGGAAAAGACCCACCATACAGACGTGCGAGAGCTTTTGCGCCCGGGCCTCACTCGAGTGCTCCCTGCAGATAACGCGGGCCCCTTCTGCCCACCAGCCAAAGCACGCAGCATCCTGTGAACCCCGTAGCATCCTGACCCGACCTGACCTAACCTAACCCGATCTGACCCCGTGTCGGCGTCACTTAGCCCGTGTTACCACTCACAGCGGTCCTTGGGGCGGCGGTGGCGGCAGACTCTGAACATCACGGCGCACACCACGGCCACGGTCACCGCCGTGGCCGTCACGGTGGTGATGACCATGATGACGCTCACGCCGTCCAGGCTCATTTGCCAGCCACTCACGCCTGCGGGCGCGGCGGGAGGTCACGCGGGGGCACAGCAGGAGGTCACGCGGGGTCAAGGTGGGAGGTTACGCGGGGGCACGGCGGGAGGTCACGCGGGGGGGCGACGGGAGGTCAAGCGGGGGCGATGGCAGAAGGTCACGCGGGGGCGACGGCGGAAGATCACACGGGGGCACGACGGGAGGTCACGGGGGGGGGGGGGCACGGCGGGAGGTCAAACGGGAGCGACGGCGAGAGGTCAGGCGGGGCAACGACAGGTAAAGTGGTGAGACGGCGGAGTGAGCGTTCATGGTGGGAGATCGTACGGAGGCCGATGGTTTGAACGAAAAGCACGGCAGAGCACACGACGATGACAAGAAGCACGGCAGAGCACACGACGATGACGGGGAGCACGGCAGCGCACGCGACGATGACAGGGAACACGGCAGAACACACGACGACGATGACGGGGAGCACGACAGCGCACGCGACGATGACAGGGAGCACGGCAGAACACACGACGACGATGACGGGGAGCACGACAGCACACGCAACAATGACGGGGAACACGGCAGAGCACACGACGACGATGACGGGGAGCACGACAGCACACGCGACGATGACAGGGAACACGGCAGAGCACACGAAGATGGCGGGGAGCACGGCAGCGCACGCGACGATGACGGGGAACACGACAGAGGACACGACGACGACGACGGGGAGCACGACAGCGCACGCGACGATGACGGGGAACACGGCAGAGCACACGACGACGATGACGGGGAGCACGACAGCACACGCGACGATGACAGGGAACACGGCAGAGCACACGAAGATGGCGGGGAGCACGGCAGCGCACGCGACGATGACGGGTCAAATGAGGGATGGGAGGAACTTAAACAGAGAAGATGTTAGGTGAAACGAGGGACGACTGGTGACCAAACAGGGGATAAAGCGGGGTCAAGCGAAGGGACGACATATGGCCAAACAGACGACGATAGAGACGATCGGGTAACAACGGAGCGCCACACGACGGGCGACTAGTGATAAGCGTTGGACTGAACGGCAGGCACTATTTCACTTCATTTAGAAGCCCTATCAAAATGACAATCAGTCTGACTGATTTTCTGCGCCTCTGTGGATAGCCCAAGTCATTGGACACCTCATCAAACTAGACACATGATGGAATCGAGGCTAATATCAATTGATACAGCTGGTGCAGCTGATACAGCTGAGATTAGACACGTGCTACTTAAACCGGCCAGGATCTCCTCCGCGGTAACATGGCATCCATCTGCCGGTCGGTTGAGCGGTTCGAAAGATGCGGGTCAGACGTGGCACGCGGGCTGTAGGTCACGGCGGCCAGTCAGGGCGCCGGGATCAATACGTCAGCACAAGACAGCGGCAGAAGTACCGCGGCCGACGCGGTAACGAGGTGCCCTTCGAGAGCGAGGAGCGTGTAACATATACCGAGCACCAGCTAACGACTCCTGATGACGCCGGAATCGGCACTTCTTCCTTCCCCAAAACTGCTGGTCGTTTGCTGCTGGTGACGCCGCCGCGATTGACAGCCGCACTTCAGGAGTGTTACGACGAGCTAATTCGCTATGTGTTACTTAGGTCTTGGTGGGATCGCACAACCGCCGCATTAAGGCAACACCCAACAATCGTCCACAGATTAAGCGCTGCCTGCTGGGCGTGAATGTTGACAGGTTTCGGTCCATCATGTCCCAACTCAAAAGTTAAGTTTACAACGCGTTGAACACGTTGAGCAGTGTTTGACGGACAGATGTGATTGCGTCCCGAAATGCGCGTATGCGAGTCTGAAGACCTGTTGCTAGTTGGCCACGTGAACTAGACTGAAATAGGAGCAGCCGCCCCACGACTTTCGGTGAAACATTAACATGTCTTGGAAAAAACGATTGGTTGAAATGACATTACTAAGGATAATAGCGCTGGGGTCTTAGCAACACGCTAATATTAGGTAGGATTCTGATCCTGGACCTCTGCATTAATACCGCTAATGGAAAAAGTAAAGAACAAACAGTTTCCGTAACGTATCTGCTTAGTCGACTTAGCTAGACTTAGCACAAATCCTATCGTGCGGACTTTTGAAGCACGGAACAAAACCTCTACTGAACGCCGCCAGCTTGCCAGTCAGGAACTCTATCCCTCGGACGTCACCCACAGCCACCGACACCCCTCGACTCAGCACCCACCGGCAACATCGATGTTGCAGGGCAGGCCGGCGCCGATCGAGTTGTTGACCAAACAGTGGTAGGTGCCGAAGTCCCTGCTGCCCGGTCGCACGGTCAGCGTGCTGACGGTGCCCTCGGTCCGGATCCGCTCCGTCAGCGTCTCGTTGTCGAAGCGCCAGGTGAAGGCCACGTCGTCGGGCACGGCGTCGACCGTGCAGACGAGCAGGTACTCGCCGTCCTGCTCCATCTGGCCGATGCTGCACTCGGGAACGTCTGCGTGCGAGAGCACAGCGCTGTTGTGAGAAACAGCTTCCCGCGGAAACATAGCGGCATCCCGCGAGGTTGTCACGAATCATGCAACGTTCATATCTTAGGGCTAGGCAGCGCAACAAGCGGCAACGCCAGAACTTTGAGCTTCATCGCACGAGAAGGCTGCTCTATAGATCCATTCAGCAAGCACGTCAGGTCTGATGGCTTCCTTCACTGACAACTGACTTCCTTCCCGACTACTCACACATGACGCGCACAAGAAGCGGCGCAGCGAAGGCGCCGTGCTTGTTCTGCGCCCGACAAAGGTACTCTCCGGAGTGCGTTCTGCTGGCGCCGCCGCTGGCATCCAGCCGCAGCCTGCCCCCCGTCTGAATGACCTCGTCATCTGCCAGCGATAGGTCACCGGCGCCGTCAGAGGGCGGGCGCCGCCCCGCCTGACGCCGGCCCCCGTCTGAATCACGCCGTCTCCTGCCCGCGGCGAATTCGGCGCTCAGTCAGCGGGCGTCCGCCGCGGCGGCAATCACCGAACGTCGCCGCCCGCTTTGAGTGCGCCACTGCCGCTGGCACTTCATCACCACTGCGGCGACACCGCCTCCTCGCCCGCCCCGTCGACGCGGCAAATCGGTGGCCGCGTCCGCGCTTACGGGCGCCGTCATTTACGTCCGAACGCGTCGTCACTTTACACCCCAACGCGGCGTCACTTTACGCCCGCTCGGGACATCAGTTTGCACCCAGCAATTTGCGACAATGGCCACTTAGTCGGCGCATTTGGCGGGCGTAAGCCGACAGCTCAATCTGGTAACCGCAGGGAGCGCCGCCGGTGGGGGGAAGGAAGACGCGGGGGAGGCAACTCACCGCGCGTCCACACGTGGCTGGCGGCCGGCAGTGCACTTGAGGTGCAGTGGACGGACCCTAGTGCGGCCCCCTCCTCCACCGAGAGCACGGCGGGCGTTACGGTGACATCCAGCGGCGGGTCTGCCGCGCGGGGGAGTGACGTCAGATAAGGGTCACGTGACGTGACGTCAGACACGAGGCACATGCTGTGGCCGGCGGGGGTAACGAGGCTGAAGCCTCGGAAGGTCTAAACGCGAACTGACGATCCGACGAATGCATGATGTGAGCGATAAAGCAGGAGGAAATGGCCAATTGTCGGCCGGTTCACGTGGGCCCAAGTTTGCACGAGCTAATTTTAGCCTTGAAAAGTTGACGTGTGGAAGTTTCCTTTGATCTCCAGACGGTCATTTTGAAGTTAAGCCATCGAAATGTGCGAATCCTAATCAAAGTCCGACCGGAAAGGTACTGGGGTTTTGAAGCCGTGTTGCTAGCCCCAGAGACCTGTATCGATTATGCAAAGCTCGTGACATTCGTCTTCGAAAGCCGACACGCCACAGAGAAGCGCCTGCGATCTATGCAGACGCGTGCTCTGTTTGCCGAGATGAAGGAAGCAAAACAAAATGAAAAAGTAAACAATAACTTCTGCGAAAATTTTTAATACTTAGTCTGAACCTTTGATTGCGTGGATTTCTGGGATTTCTGGGATCAGCATCCCGCTCGGTAGAAATTGTTGTGTAGGCCCTTACCTCACCACCCGACCGTGAAATTCCGGGTCGACGGAATCAATTTGACGGCGCATGCTGCCCTCTGACGTCGAAGCACCTTTAGAGGGGTCAGCGCCACCGGGCCACATGCCATGCTGGTCCTGTTCCCAGCTTCGACACCTACATTGCACGCCTACATTACATTGCTTCGACACCTAAGCAGTCTTTCGTCTTTTCGAGGGCTTGCTATCCCCGACCGAGTGGCGTTTCAATTCAAAAAATGTTCTCGACGAGCTAGCTAGAACTTACATTTGACAGTCAAGAAGGTCGCACGGCTGACCATAGCCTGACAATGTTAGAGCCGGTTATGCAGATTGACATGGTTGAAATAATCTTTTCCATCGTTTGCAAAAGATAGGGCACGCCCGGCGGCATTTGACGCCAACGCCAAACCATTCCGCGAGCGCTATCACCACTCACACTCGACAGTGAAGAGGGTGGTGCTGCTGACCCCCAGCCCGACGGTGTTGGACGTGCTGCGGCAGGTGTAGTTGGCGTTGTCCCGGACCCGGTCCAGCGTCTGGTTGGGCCAGGCCGTTATGTTCCAGGTGAGGGTAGACACGACCGACTCGAAGTCGTTGGTCCTCGGGTCCGGCTCCAGGGCGCCCGTCTTGATCGAGTAATACGAGCCGTCTTCAATCACCTGGCAATTGGACACCGCGTCAGAAACCCAGGCAACGGCGCCGTCCAGAATCATTGGGTGCAAACACAGAATCGGTCTTGTGCATCGAATTGCATGGTTCCATTGCGTTCCGCAGAATGGCATGGATCCATTTATTGCCTTTTTGAATGCATTTTTTTTTAAACAGACCGGTAGGGCATCGTCCTGGTTTTTCGTTGCTGACGTTACGTTCGTAGTGATCTAATGTTACACGAGTGATTCATGAGACACGCTATTTTAATCCGCAGTTTGAGGCACGGGAACATCGGTATGCGAAACCAACATACCTCAGGCAACGCCCAACATCACATTCGGCTCCTGGGACGACATAGATCGGATTTATGGCATCAACACAGTACACTGCTTCAGACAAAGCCGAAAACACTTCCACACAAGAGAAGCAGTTTTATAAAAATGCACCCGGATCACAATCGACGCACGGCCTGCTTGTCGTGACAGTTATAGATTTAGCGTGCGACATTACTCAGATTTCCTCTACGTGATCAGCAAACGCGTCACGTAAGCTTGCGTTGCCATCGGACGCAGTCCTCACCTGGCCGTCTTTGAGCCACTCCAGCTCGCAGAGAGGGGAACACTCGACGCGGCAAGTGACAGCGATGGACGACGAGTTGATCAGAGCCCCCACGTACGGAGAGGGACGCTCTATGAAGCGGGGCTTGGCTGCGGACGCAGGTCACGCGGCGTCACTGGCCGGCGCGGCCCGCGGCCAACACAGCGGGACGAGCGATGGCGACCGCGTGTTCCATGGCGCAGTGTCTGTCTGTGCTTGTAGAAAACCCCCGCAAAGCACGCGCGGCGGATGGCAGGCTTAGTCGACGAAAATGGCCGTGCATCGCAAACCAGCTTGCATCGCGCCAGATTGGGGCATTATTCCCGCGGCTGCGTTTAAGAGGGTGCCGAAGTCCAATTACCTGATGGCCATGCTCGTTGCATTTTCGATGCTGTGGATTTATGGCCAGCTGCGGTAAAGTGAAAGCGCCAGGGATGCTAAGCGATTCGAATGTAACTTAAAAACGTTGAAAACGATTCGCATTAAATAAAACACAAGATTGAATCAAATGAAATAATAAGCCCGTACAACCTGAACCCCTCTTCGTGAGATATCTGCATTACTTATACGCATGCCTTAGCTGTCAAAGGCATGCAAGCCCAAGAAATATCCAAAGAAATAAAATGTGTTGCGTACGCACCAATAGCAAACGGCGGCCTCAATAAGCACTACAGCGGAGCCCGAAATATAACCATGGCGCTTGGCTGCTGTAAAGGGCTCACAGCGCTTACAAGTGCGCAAAGGAATCGCCTTTTCATCGTTTTCCCGTAACCCTAGACTGACTAATCTACAGACTTTTTGAAATGCATCCAGATAACAGTGAGGGCAGCGACGCACCTAGCGGATTACATGACCTACTGAGGACGTACATGACCTACTGAGGACGCACATGACGGTATGTTTTGGCAGAGGTCATATAATGAGGCAAGCCAACGCTCATAAGCAGTCATGGCTGATTTGGCCAGGCTGCTGTACATAACAAGATATCCGCCACCATCATTTTCCCCGCTACGATCTGCAACCCCCTAGCTCCTGAGCTCGAATATGATTCACGGGTAGGCTGTTCGGTATTCCGGTAGTGCCTCGTGGGCGGAACGTGTCCGATGGCAAGAAATGACACCACCACCCACTGACGACCCGGCTGACGGCCGCCGTTGACGCTCGCTGATGGGCTGTCATTGTCATTGATGTCGTTCGTGGTATGACGCAAATGGGCCGAATCCGTTCCCTTGCAAACAACTACACCTCCAGAACCATTTTAACATAAGCAAACAGGATGAGTGCGGGTGAATACGTCCAGCGCACACTACGTACTTTATCTTTATCACGCTTTATCTTTTCCGATGGTCCGTAACATTGCACCGTTCACGTTATGCCGGGGAGACAGAGATGTTTCCGAACATTGCAAAAGCGTGCCAGAAGGACGTCGTTGTCAGCGGGTGCCAGCAGCGACCGGCAGCCTCACCGAGGACATCCAGCAGCGCAGCGCCCTCCGTGCTGCTGCCGGCCACGTTGTGGGCCACGCAGCCGAACCGGTCGTCCTCCTCCAGCGAAGCGGCATCGACTCGCCACTGTCGTGTCCGGATGTCCGTCACCACGTGACTGCCGCGCATCCACAGGTACTGTCGGCCAGCGACGGTCACGTGACATCACAACAGCGAGGCCGTCCCCGGGCAGCGAGGCCGTCCCCCCGCTCTGGGGACCTACATCACACTCGCTGACGGTCGCGTGACAATTGCACCCGAAGATTAAAGCAGCTCTGAGGACTCAATTCAACCCGCTGATGATCGCGAGCCAATTATACCTGGAGGGCATAGCACCTCTGGAGACCCAATAAAGCCAGTCATTCTTGTGAGAATTGCAAAGGGTCGTGCCAAGCCAACTCAAAATACGCTAGCAATACAATCTAACTTCCTGATATACGACAAAGTACCCTGAAGGTATAAACAGTTCTTCAGTATATATCTCCAGCCAGCTTTGACATTTCAGGAGGGCTTACCATGCGGAGAGGAGTCACAGTATGGCCGATGCGTAACATTCCATCACATCAAAAGGATTGCTCTCAGGGTACGCGGGAGACAATCTCTGCCGCGTTGAAAACTCTAGATGGCCAACGGTTGACTCTATTGGTCGACGGCAAGAGCAGATGATCTAGAGGAGGTCCCATCAAATGTATAGGAAGCCTCATGGAAAACACAAGAGGCCCCGCCAGCCAAAGAGAAGGCCTCGATTAGTACGACCGGAAACATCACCACGCAAAAGTCAGTCAGCTTTAGTTTTAGGTTTTTAAAAGGTTTTAGCCAGTTATTCACCTTGTTCCTATTCATCACTATCATCCACTTCACTATATATATATATATATATATATATATATATATATATATATATATATATATATCACTATATCCATTTCACATATTCCTCACTATTTAGCCCCTCTTTGGGGTGTTATGTATCCGCCAATGAACATACCCGGAACATTTTTAGATGGAGACTAAAATGGGAAGTACCTAAATCTGATTGGAAGGCCCTGGATATGTTTGCTCCCTTGGAAACCGCAAGAGGCACCTGCCTTGCCGCATTTCAACCAGATATGAGGAGAATGGGGGAGGGGGGGGGGGGCGAAACCGGCCTCGAGGTCGACCTCGGCTTTGGCTTTGCGAGGCCGCAGGTTCCCTCTAATGGCTTCGGGTTCGGCTTTGGCTTCGAACTATTTTCCATGGTTGGCTTCGACTTCGAGCCATCCAGAAAAGTTGGTTTTGGCTTTAGCTTTGGAGTTGCGTCATTTCCACAGCTTACTTCAGCTCCTGCTTCGCACAATTTTTTAATTAGGGCTCCGGCTCTGGCTACATGCAGTCTTAACCTGCGGGTTTAGGCTCTGTCGTTGCTGCTTCTTGCCTGCAGCTGCGGCTTTACTTTAAACAGGGATTGCCAGTCCAGCCACCCCCAATGTACCACTCAACTGCGCGTAACACCGGACGAGCGTGGGGGGCCGACCGTTCGAAATGCCATGTGCCTGAAAGCACGCAAGGCAAGGGCGACAGTCCGAAAGAATGTTTCATCCGTAATGCTAAAACTTGTTTTATTCACGTGCAGGACTGTGACGATATTGTATGGACCATCATTAACTACATTTTGTAATTTCATACACTTTTAAGAGATGCGAAAATGGCTTTTGTCTCACAAAAATAACGTTATGTAGTAAATTCTGCCCCAGCTTTGGTCTCGTGATTTTAAACTGATGGGTCCGGCCTTGGCTTTGCATTTCTTTCGAAGTCGACGATATTGGCTTTGGCTTTGCGCATACAAGATTTGAAGCCAAAGGCTTCGGCTTCGGCTCCGGCCTTGCAGTTCCAAACTTCGAAGTCACCGGCTTGGGCTTCGACATTGGCCTCATATCATTGTGTTGACCGCGGATTCCGCCTCGAAGCCAGAAGCCTTGCATCGTCCACACGCCTGACTCCAGCTTACGAATTCTACTTACCTGAACGATGTGGCACACCCCCACAAGCTTACTGTGATGACCAGAGCCAATGAAAGCACCATCTTCATTCCGCCTACCTGGCCGGCTGGAGGGTAACCCAGGTCGTCGACCTCACAAGTCAGAGTGACCTGCATGTCCTTCAGCACGACGGTCGGCTCGTGCGTCACAGCAGCCTGGTGCGGGGGGTCTGCAGAGCACGAGCCCATGTCACGCGGCTTTCACCGCAGCTGGCGCTTTCGATGGGCGGCCGGTGCCCATCAACAGATATAATGTGACAAAGCCAACGGGCACCGTTCAACGACGCGTATGTTATACACATGCGCGTAGCAGCGAGCCGGTTCACTTTAAAGTTTACGTTTATGGTTCTGTCACGTCCGGTAGGCTTATGACGATAAAGCCAACACGCATTCGTCAGTGTCAAAACAGACAGACCATTCTGCTACATAAATCGAGGCTGAATCCCCTGAGGAAAGCTCTGTTTTCGGGAAAGTGAATGTCAAGTTATGCAACATCGCTGGAGTATCTAAATCTGCAATTAGGCGAAATTGCCTCAAGCGATTAGATTCAGAAAGGATACATTACCAAACATCAAAGTCAACCATCCCTCCAGCGACAGGCCGTTAAAATACCATCACCAGAACTCATTACATCAACATTGAGGCAATTCCAGCTTATCGCCGCGTGCTATTGCTTGAAAATAACATCCATTCTCAGAAATACTCCACCCAGTCGTTGGCCAGATACTATGCTATCGTAGTCGACCAGTGAGAGCTAACGAGTCGCGTACCCACCGCACCCATTTCGTACATCACTCACAGTGCACGAGCAGTTGTTTCTGCCTCGACAGCGGGCCCCAGCCGGCGCGGCTGAGGCCGGCGCAGCTGTAGTTGGCCATGTGCATTCGAGTGACGCTGAGGAGCGTGATCTGCCCCGGCTCGTCCGAACAAGGGCCGTCGGCGCCGCCGCCACCGAACACTGCGACAAGCGATGGGGTCCGTCAGTAGACGACGCTGCAAACGGGTCGCCAGTGCACCAGGTCACCAGTACACCAGGTCACCAGTGCACCAGGTCACCAATACACCAGGTCACCAGTGCGTCAGGTCACCAATACACCAGTGCACCAATGCACCAGTTCACCAATACACCATGTCACCAGTGTACCAGGTCACCAATACACCAGGTCACCAGTGCACCAGGTCACCAGTGCACCAGATCACCAGTTGCACCAGGACACCAGTCAAGTCACCAGCACACCGCACCTTGAAGATCATCCGAGTTGCGCATTGCCGCAAAACAGCGGCGATCGTTAGCAGGCGCCGTGTTCATCGTTGTCGCCGAGGGAAGCCCACCCCCGCAGCCCAGCCCCAGCCACAGACCCAGACAGCTCCCAGCCACCATCTGACCTGCGCCGGAGGGGCGGCACGGCGGCGGGTCAGGCAGCAGCTCGCCATCCCGGTACCAGCGCACCCACAGCAGCTCGGCCGGCTCCCCGGACGTGACGTCACAGCGGCCCGTGACGTTCGGCCGGGCGGACTCGGTGGCGACCGACGGAGTCACGGTGAGGCTGACCTCCGGCGGGTCTGCGGAGAGACGGCGTCGCCTAGGACTCACATGCGACCACAGCGGGATGGGGCGCTACGGTGTCGAGTTACGCATGCGGGTTTGGCACGATAGTTAGGAGTCTTCGAAGTTTCATATCGTCGTCAACAGTACCCGAATTAGACGGATTTCGTCAGCTCGTATAACTGGAGCCTCGGAAGACGTTCCAAAACGAGCAAACACCACGATGCCCTTCGGTGAACCTCGGGACGCAAACGTTTCAGCACACACGCTTTCATTTCGGAAAACTGTTCATTTGACGTATGCCGTACCAATCGCAGCGTAGAAAAACACTGCATAGAAAGACCAACACATGCCTGATCTCCATCACGTTATTTTGAGCACCTCCGGTACGTCTTCGGTTCGCTGAACGTCGAATGCCTCCGGCCAAGCGGGATCAACTCACAATACATGTGCTGGGGCAATCGGAGTTGGCAACACGCTCGACAGTAGGCCGTGAGTTGCCGCGCTACCGTGTTAGCGTGCTTGACTGACTCAGTTGCTGTGGACGGTGTTCAGTGTCGCACAGTTGCCCCAGCAACTATGATAGCAACCTTGGCATTCGTGCATCGCATTATGGTGGTGCGATGTACGTAATGCAGCTGGAGTCAAAGGCAATTGTAAATAGTTATCGCAGGATAGTTTCAGCACAAGCGAAAAGTCACACGGGGTAAGCTTGGAGACAACAGATCAGGCGGGCTTTTGCTTGCACAGTTCTCAGTGGCGGACTTTACGACAGTGATGTTTTACTGAATGAGAACATCCTCGGGTCTTCTTTACGAAACCTGGCACGACCACGAATACATGCTGCACATGTCGTATCTACGTAATGCGATGTAATGAAAGTGTTTTCGCAATAATAATATGATTCAGTAATAAACCAATTGCAGGCGTAGGCTTGGACGTGGCGAAATGCTCCGCTCGTGACTGCTTTCCCTGTCCGTTAAAACTTGGATTCCGTCCATTTCTTCCCCGTTTTCCTTTGTTTACAAGCCGTAATACACATCTGCGAATCTATTTCTGACGTTTTCTGACATGGCTTTTCATTGCTTTGACAGTCTTGACGTAGGAAACTCTGAACTTTACAAGGAGCTAGGCGAACATTTTTTGCATCTTGTTTGTTATTGCAGAAGATGAGGTGAAATCCCAGAAAGAGAACAGAGCCTGACGGCCTGCTTATAAAAGTTGTTTATCTCTGTTAGCTATAAAGATATGACAGACAAAAGACATCGTAAAATAACAAACCGGGTAAATGTGACAGAAACGTGACGATTCTCGCTCCACGCAGCGCACATTGCAAATGGTTGATGAACACATTAAGTCATATAAATGCGAACATGCATTTTCATTGCGCCTCACGTTACTTTTTTCTCGCGATTATCTGACAATCTTTTGTGGTTGTCATAGCACTGTTTTTGGGATTTAAGTGTGCTAGTCCGATTTCTTATAAAACGGTAAAAAGAAATATCTCTCCGCACATATTTCTACTCAGGATGTTACGCGGCATTGACACAATACTCATGTGCCACTTAATAGAAATCTTGTTTGTATACATATATACATACGTATATATATATACATATAAACTTGAACTTATTTCAAAAGCTGTGGAGTTTAATTAGTACCGCACTAAGTCATATCGTATTGAGGAAACAGCATGACAGTCAAATGAGGACGAGTAAACATGGAAACTAAAAAGAAAAGCAAACAGAATTCCTAGACGTAAATATACGTTGACACAGTTGCAGCTATCCAGTAGAGAACAGCGTGCCAGCAGCGCACAACCGACTCAATACGGAACGAAATGAAATTGGTGCCGCGTACGTAGGCCAAGTCGCCCGGCAGCTACGGATCGCCTGCGGGTGGCACCATTTTAGTTTTCGTCAGACGGCGACGGCGACCGTGAGCGGACCGGCTGGGTGGGGTGGGAGGGGGGGGGGGGCATGTCTTGAGTGTTTGAGCCCTAACCCGCTCAAAACCGATCGGCTGCTTCCAATACCCGGTCTCGCGCAAACGACTGAGACGCACGCCCTACTCCGGTGGCATATGCGTACGCAATCTGACGTCAACAACCTTACGTCTGCCACGGAATTGCAGCAGGCCCGAAAGGAAAACGTCGAGGCACCTTATTTTTATTCAAGTAGAGCCACTGCCATTCAACTTTACAAAATACTGTCAACATTTGCGAAGACGGGTCTCAGGTTGCGAAGCCGAGTCTCAGGCCGCGAAGCCGAATCTCAGGTCGCGAAGCCGAGTCTCAGGCTGCGAAGCCGAATCTCAGGTCGCGAAGCCCAGTCTCAGGTTGCGAAGCCGAGTCTCAGGTTGCGCTGCTCGGTCATACCGACGTGAATTTGCCAAAAGTTCTGCATGATAGTTTGCAGCTAAACGTAAAACAGACAGTTTTGTGGTGCGTGTGCACCCGTCATTGAACACCACGAATGCCGTGTAGGTCCGCGTGCGACCAGATGATCGGCATTGCATGCCTATATCTGACTTCAAATTTCCAACGTATGTGTTCAGATTGCTATTTGGTATGGGTGCTAGCTCTCCACTAAACGCAATTAGTTTATGAGGTATATGCCATGATACAAAGTAAGTTCCTAAAAAACTGTGAACCAGTTGATCACGTAAGATGAAAAACTGCCCGCTGCTGGATCCCATTCCCGTCAGTCACTCACCGGTCCCCGCCAGTGCCTGTTTCAGCTGGAGACTTCGCCCCGGCCGTGTTTCCACGAGTTCCCCACAACACGAAGGGGCTCATTAGCAGCGCAGTGCTGACCCCTCCCCAGTCGTCTAAAGCTACCGCACAATCGGGCCGATCTATGGTAAACCTCTGCATTATGCAGGGCGGAAAATTAAAAGCAAACGTGCTTGTCGAAAACGAAAACATTAGACTGGTATCAGCAACATTCCCCCGAGGGTCACAAGAGCTACTCCGAGTGTTTTCCCCAGTTTATGCTCAGGCCTTGAACAAAAAACAGCCCCTATGTCCCAACAACGCATCGTGATTTTTCGTGATAGCAAGTTCTGACCATCAAGAACCGTTCGCAGTGCGTACGAAGCTGGTGCGGCTCTCGCACAGTAAAGGGACTCGTGCATGCTCACGTGACAGGAAAACACAGCGCCCATCCCATCACATTCGGGCGCATTGATCCCGCCTGGCGCATCGATCAGGTACTCACACTGGACGAGCACCACGGCCTCCTTGTCGGCCATGCCTCCTATCTCGCTGGCCATCGCCACCAGGTACTCACGCTGGACGTGCACCACGGCCTCGTTGTCGGCCATGCCTCCTCCTATCTCGCTGGCCACCACCGCCAGGTACTCACACTGGACGTGTACCACGGCCTCGTTGCCGGCCATGCCTCCTCCTATCTCGTTGGCCATCGCCGCCAGGTACTCACACTGGACGTGTACCACGGCCTCGTTGTCGGCCATGCCTCCTCCTATCTCGCTGGCCACCGCCGCCAGGTACTCACACTGGACGTGCACCACGGCCTCGTTGTCGGCCATGCCTCCTCCTATCTCGCTGGCCACCACCCCCAGGTACTCACACTGGACGTGCACCACTGCCTCGTTGTCGGCCATGCCTCCTCCGACTTCGTTGGCCACCGCCCCCAGGTACTCACACTGGACGTGCACCACGGCCTCGTTGTCGGCCATGCCGCCACCGATCTCGTTGGCCACCTCGCAGCGGTAGCGGCCGGCGTCCCGCCTGGAGGCGTTCTTGATGAAGAGCGACGGCTGCTCCAGGGTGCCTCCCTCGTACTTGTCCTCGTCAGTCAAGTCCAGCTGCCGGCCACTCTTGTACCTGGCGACGTGCGGGGAAGGGGTCGGTGGGATTCTGGGGATTGCTTAGATCTTTGTTGTCTTTTCAAGCTGAGGTGGGGAAACAGAACACAATATAATAATTATGTTGTGTTATATAATGAATAAGAACACAAATACCGTGTATTGCCAGGGTTTCGTGATGTCCGAAAAGCGACCTGTTGGGCGTGGTGGGAACGCTGAGCTCACGTACAACGTCAGTTACACCAAATATTCATAAACCATAAGCACATACATGAAAAGGATATTCGAAACATTAATCCGTCAAATGCCACAACCAAAGTCAAATGTTTTCCCAGTGCCGTTGAAGACATCAAGATAAGGGTGGTTGATCTTTGGATCTCATGAAAGTTTCTTGCATGTCGCTTAAAACTCTTCAACTGTGGTTCATCGCATTTGTGACTTTATCTTTCACTGATGACTGCCATCCGCACATACCATCACACATCACTTCTTCATGTAAGATGTCAACGTCAACAACGTCACACTAGAATGTCAGCAAGGGTTACAAGCAGAATGCCAAAGCGAGCTGGGACGGTTTTAACTCGAAATAATGTGCATGGAAACGAATTGCTACTTACCAGATTCATGGACACGTTTCGTGATTCAGTGCTTACATGTCACTCCATAGTGGTAAACACGAAGTCAAACTCGACCATTGTACAGTCTGATGAGGTCACTCGACGCTGACAGGACAAAGAGCTTAACTTATGATATATATATATATATATATATATATATATATATATATATATATACAAAACATATAACTAGTAACTGGCTGGAGAGGGCAAAGAGCAACAACAGGAAAATACAGCCTCTCCGCCGTCTGAATTTCGGCTATCAATACACAGCTTCATGCTCAGGACATATTGCTCTCTCCTAAGTCACGTGAGAGCGTGATTTGGGTCATTCGTGAGGTTTTACCACGGCGTAAGCTAGCGCCAACGCCTTGGGGTCCAAGGCGGCCGTCAGCCGAGACCCCATCCCATCACCCATCCTGTCTGGCAGTCAGCCGAGACTACCACCCGTCCCGTCAGGCCGTCAGCCGAGACCACCACCCGTCCCGTCAGGCCGTCAGCCGAGACCACCACTCATCCCGTCTGGCCGCCAGCCGAGACCACCACCCACCCCGCCTGCCCGTCGGCCGGCGGCCGTCGTCCGCCGTCGGCCCGGCGGCGTCTGTTCCGCTCGGCGGCGATGGACACCAGGCGGGCCGTTCTGACACAGCCGCGGAGGCTGCCGTCCGGCCGGGATGACTCCGGCAGGCGGGTGTCCAACCACCACTCAGCAGCGGAACGACGGCACCGAGAGAGGTCGGCCAACAGCAGAACACCGGCGCAGGAGGATAACGTTGACGTATTGGTCTCGTAAATACCACAGAAGTTCAAATATCCTCAGGTCGGCTGGGAAAAGGGGCCCGCTCACAGGGGCTAATTCCGTATTGATCTCCGTTGCACCAACTGTCCGTCAGATGTAACCGATCCAGCTCGCTTCACCCGACGAAGGAAGATGCGGCACACCACGTGGTTTTACCGGTGCGAGCAAACCAGCCGAAAAACCACGTAGGCGCACCAGAACAAAATTTCACAGAGTCACGCGTGCTTACAACCGCACAGAGCAGTTTCATGCCCAGCTGCCGAATCCCTCCCTCAAGTTGATCCCACAGCTTCTGCCACACCTAATATTTAGGCACAACATGGCTGACGTAAGCATGATATGACATGCCTCATGCCTGATGGCGCGCGTCCCGTAGCATTTCCGCACTCTATCTCGCGCATTTGACACGCACAAGGGATCCAGAGCCGGTTTTTCCCCATTCCTTTCAAGAAATATCTGCTTCTGCGGACCGCACTGGCCGTTCGGCAGCATGGTATCATGTGACATGGACCGCCGCACGACAGCGCCGGCGACAACGTACCACGTGACGGCAGTCAGGTTGGCCGGGTTGGCGTCGTGGCCGCAGAAGAGCAGGACGTCAGCTGACTCGTTAGCGGCCATGTTGTCGGGCGTCACAGTCACCGAGGGTGCGTCTGCGGGCCACATTCAAATGTAAATCCCCGCCGGAGTTGGCCGCCAACGAGACCGGCACGTGGAGGGCACGAGAACAAAGCGCTCAGCCTCGTAGCGGGGAGTAATGAAGAGGCGTGTTTGCCGCCGGGCATCAATTAGGCAGTGTGCCCGTCCCTTCATGCGGCGAAATTGTCCTGTTTTTCTTCCACTGGTTTAAAACCATAACCTGATGTGAAAGCTTTTATAAGGGTTGTGCATTTACAAACGATTTATTAAAATGAAAGCGATCCCGCGTGGGACCAGCAGCCCAGTTAACCGGTTTACCTGCATTATTAAAATACTTATTATCAACCGATGAAATACGACTAGTCTAGGAAAAAGCTTGTGTATTGCGCATTGAGTTTGAAGTGCTGTACATTATTTAGATTTTGAGATAAGAAGCTTAGAAGTACGTACGTTGGTCTCAACTTCACAGCGCCGAAACATGTCGGCAAAACAACTTGTTTGTTCGCTGCGAATCACGCTGAATATTTCGCGACGCAATCTATTTTTGACGTCTCAGTATCTGTTGCTGAATGTGAGAATCTCGTTGAAAAAAGAGTGGCAAACAGCGAGGGTTGACGCCCGAATTGAGATGTTCGTTCATGGGGAACGAAGAAAAACCTTTACTGGGTATGTTCCTCATTTGAAGATATTAAAGAAAGCATCGTCGAGATGAAATAAGCTCACTTACAGCTTTGAATAGTCTCCCCGAAATACTCTGCACATCTTCCCGGGCGCGGGAAGATGTGCTGACTAGGTAGCCGAAGATGGAGATGTACCGGTGGCTGAGGAACTAGAGGGGCTTAGGTCTAAAGAAGGGCAGGGCTGTGAACTGTAACGAATGACCTTCAAGACGGCTATTTCAGTTCAAAACCCCACACGAATGTGGGACAATCGCTTTAACATGAACCGCAATGCTATGCCCTCAACGCGCTATGAATTCTGCAGTCCCATCTCGCTCAGCGCCTGCGGTACCATTGCTCCATGCTGAGACTCATTTGAGCGATGCAATAAAATCAGAGCAGCCAACTCCACTTAGCTGACACTGCATGCTTAACATTGTCGAACATGAGGAGTCCATTCGAAATGATTATTCAACTATTGTCGTAGTGGTGTGATTGTTTAGGCGTAATTGTTCACACGTGCACCACACGCAATGCGACAATGGCGACGAGAACAATCAGAAACAATATGTTGTCCGTATTAACAACTCGCTTCAAACATTCTGCAAACATAATGGAACGCGTTTCTCGAAAGTGACTGAACTGCGTATGCTTCGTTTACTTGAGGCCTTGCCCATCATCCACCAGAAGTAAGACTGCAGCGCACTGTCACACTTCGCTCTACTGTACTGACACAGCACTTGGACGGTGACGGTGGCGCGGAGCGGCGACTCGGCCTTGCTCTCGATGACCGCGTTGGAGGCGACGCAGGCGACCGGCCGTCGGTGCGCTGACCTCACCGCTCTGAAGGTCAGCGTGCTGACCGTGTCGGCGGTACCGTCCGCCTGCAGCACGGGGCAGGTCAGCAGCCGGCTGACAGCCAGCTTTAGAGAGATCCTGTTTACTCCGTGCTGCTTGGTGCCGTGCCGCGATACGTGTGCGAAGCAGACAGGTGCTCGAGCATCATTTAAATGCGCTGATGGGAGCTCTCGATGTCCAGGCAAAGTTCACAAAACGGGGAGTGAATTCTGCTGTGCTTATCAACAAACGAGTGGAGTTAAGCCGGTACCATAATGCTATTCAGGCGCGTATTTTTCATAAATGATGCAAAAAGTTCCAGCGCAAACTGAATGATAAAAAATATTTCACTTCCTATCTCCAAGCACATTTCACTCTATACAGGTTCCCAGTGATGATACATGATTGCAGCCTTATAAGCCTAATGCCTCATACATAGCCCTCACAGATTTTGGGTAGCATCACAACCTAAAAAGAAAATACACATCCGGAACCGAGACAAGTGACAGCATAGGCTTACACGACAAACATGTTATAACCGCCTGAGAGAGTCGCACAGAGCTCCTTGAAATGTCTCGCAGTTTACATCTCGTCATCTGACAGTCAGGTGTCAATACAGTGATTTCCGGTCAGCCCCTACCTTGGTGTGCACAGAGCTATTGGACTGTGTCGCCACCTCCTGGCCTCCCGCTAACCAGGTGATGTTGGCGGCAGGTCTGGCGCCGCTGACCTTGCAGGTCAAGGTCACCATGGTGCCCTCCCTGACGGCTCCAGACCAGCCGTCGAGCTCGACTGACCGCGGTCGAACTGCGAACAGGGCAGGAGTGCAGCAGTGTTTTGGAAAAATCGGCATGCGCGTTAGTGCTATGGATGCCATCGCCCTCGCATCCACTCATATGCGAATGCAGGCTGCGACGATTGCCATGCATTCATTCGCATTCGCTAAATAATACCGTGCTGCGCTTCTGGGAAAGATATCTGATATCTGAATGATATATGGCATATGAAATACGATATAAAAATGTGATATAAGACATAAGATAAAAAATCTGATATAAAAATGATATATGAAAGATATCTGTGATGACAGCAAGTTCTCCGACGCTTGTGACGTTATCGCCGTTTCGAGTAGCCAAACCGAATAATTATTTAGACCTGCCCGATGCACTGGGGACGGACGAACGCATCACGCTGTTGAGCACACACCTGCCATGCCTTACCATGAAGGTCGATGTAAAGCGTCGAGCGGAGCGCCCGGCGGCTGGCCGGGTTCGTGGCCTGACACTCGAGTCCTGACCCCAGGTCATGTCGGGTCAGCGGCACACGGATGACGTTGGTGCCCAGCCCCGTCCCGTCGGCCGACAGCACGGCTCCGGCAGCCCCTGAGAATAATCGACGGCGTCTCACGAGGCGCTCAGGTGACAAAACCCCGCGGTCTCACGAGGCGCTCAGGTGACAAAACCCCGCGGTCTCACGAGGCGCTCAGGCGATAAAACCCCGCGGTCTCACGAGGCGCTCAGGTGACAAAACCCCGCGATCTCACGAGGCGCTCAGGTGACAACCCCGCCGATCCTCACAGAGGCGCTCATGCGATAAAAACCGCGGTCTCACGAGGCGCTCAGGTGACAAAACCCCGCTATCTCACGAGGCGCTCAGGCGATAAAACCCCGCGGTCTCACGAGGCTCCCAGAGCGATAAAACCCCCGCGGTCCTCACGTGGTGATGGTCAGGTGACAAACCCCGGCGGTCCTCACGTGTGTGGTCAGGGCGATAAACCCCGCGGTCTCACGTGGTGGTCAGGTGACAAAACCCCGCGGTCTCACGTGGTGGTCAGGTGACAAAACCCCGCGGTCTCACGTGGTGGTCAGGTGATAAAACCCCGCGGTCTCACGTGGTGGTCAGGTGATAAAACCCCGCGGTCTCACGTGGTGGTCAGGTGACAAAACCCCGCGGTCTCACGTGGCGGTCAGGCGGCAAACCCCGCGCTCTCACGTGGCGGTCAGGTGGCAAAACTCCGCGGTCTCACGCGGCGGTCAGGCGGCAAAACGCCGCGGTCTCACGTGGCGGTCAGGCGGCAAAACGCCGCGGTCTCACGTGACGGTCAGGCGGCAAAACGCCGCGGTCTCGCGTGGCGGTCAGGCGGCAAAACGCCGCGGTCTCACGTGGCGGTCAGGCGGCAAAACCCCGCGCGACGGGCAGCCGGAAACGCACCACTCACGTCCCAGCTGGCGCGAAATGAACGTAATGAGGTTGGATGGGAAATGAGATGTCTGTTCACGGATGCAGCGGCATGCCATCAGTCGTTTCTGGCGAAGGTGACGACCGCCGTCGCCAAAAATAATCCAATTTCGTCTGAGCACCAACACACATCCTGCCCGTGATGAAGCAGGCTCCTGACGGGCGCCTGGCCTTCTCCAGCGGGGTCACGCCCCCACCGGCTCCGCACCGGAGGCGCGAGCCGAGCAGAGCCGGCAGCGGAGCCTCCCACAGCGGCTGGCGCGGCTAAAGCCGGGCCAAGCCGGCCAGCGTCGCCGCAAGCGCACGTACTGCCCCCGGGGGCCGCTGCCGCTGGGAGGACGCCCGCGCGGGCTCGTCTGCTAACGCGGACTGAGAGCCGCAGCAGGCCGCCGGCGGTGGAGGCGCCGCTTCTTCACCCCAAGGGCATGCCCGATCTCATGCACCGGGCATGCCCGATCTCATGTCCTGGAGTATGACGACGTGGGGTCGTCTGTCTTACTGACAAGGCAATCACAGCAACGTTCGATCAGCTTGAGCTTCAGGAATGACAATGACTGCGGCATGAGGCATGATCGCAAAAAGCTCCCTTTGTCTCAAGAGGTCAACTTTGTACTAGTGTTCCACGTGCGACTCAGTAAACGCTTAAATTATGTAAGCTGAGTGCTCTTGCGCTGAAAAAAATCCATAAGGTATGGTATAGGTATGCACCGTAAGCCCAGCTACCACCCTGATTAAATGCCATCCCAACCATGACACCTTCTCTTTGTGACACTTTCCTCCCCGTCATTGGCCTGCTTTGTCCGCGTTAATGTTGTTTAACTGTTACATTTTTCCGCCATGCCAACAAACTCATCCGAGAACAAATACCTGTATTGAGGTCAACCATGTTAATACCTATGCTATGGTCTCCCATGCTAATACCCATGTTATGGTCTCCCACAGCGATGCCCATATTATCGTCTCTCATGTTAGCAACCACATTATAATATCCCATATTAATACCCATGTTATGGTTTCCCCATGTTAATATCCATCTTAAGGTCTTCCATGTGGTATTGAGACCCACGGTGTGGTCTCAACACCACGCCCAAATAACCTCCCATATTGACGGTCTGTTCCCAACTGACAATCTTTGTCCGCGGTGTCGTTCTCATCTGACGTCCCATTCGGACCAGCATGTCGTTCTCATCTGACGTCCCATTCGGACCAGTGTGTCGTTCTCATCTGACCTCCCATTCGGACCGGTGTGTCGTTCTCATCTGACCTCCCATTCGGACCAGTGTGTCGTTCTAACCACACCTGTCTTCTGTAAACTGTCGCCAATCTTACCCCTCCCCATGTCGCCGGTTATTTAGCCGGTTGTCCTGCCATATTTACACAAGCCTCCAATTTCTGACCTCCATATTGACGATAATGTGTCCATGACTGACCTCCCATGTTGACGGTGTCGTTCCACCAGGTCACGGCGGCGGCCGGCTTGCCCCCTGCCGACTCGCAGCGCAGCACCAGGTCACTGTCCTCCTCGTACGGACCAATCACGGAGCCGGGGCTGACCTCCGTGCCGTCCTCCAGCAGGATACGGATGTTCTCCGGCTTGGCTGAAGAAAACAACAGCACGGGTCAGATCCTTTTCAGGCGCTCGGTGGCAAGCATACATTTTTATGGTCGCCTTGCGTGTGTTACTGCACGCAATGTTATCATTTCGTTTCCTCGTTTGCTCTACACTAATTTCTAGGTCTAGCTATTCTAACCAATGTTTTGGTCTAAGTTTGTAACGTCCGGATGCTTTTATCAGCACTTATTCCGTGTTGTCCACAACACATCGTCACTGTAAGCGCACCGATGACAGCAATCACGACGTTCAGTCATAACATTACGGATCACACAAAACGCCCTTTAAAAGTAAATTACTAGAACAAATTGCAGCTCCGCCTCCCTGTTAATCTGGTATCTCTCTTTCTGTCAGATTGCTCTTCATGCTGCCATGGTTCTGTAAAATTGTCCTTGCCAAGCAGGGCTGATGGGCAGATATAATCAACTTGTGTCACTTTGACATACACATGACGATGCTTAACCCGCTGCACTACGACGTCACGTCAGAAACAAAGGTGGAAACTTTGAGATTTGCTGTGTAGAAGAGCTGTTTTTCAATTGATTTTGTCTTAGTTCAATGACAAAACACGATTAAATCACTTGTTACGCGAGTTCCCTTCAAACACCGCACAGGTCGTCATTTCACTGCAGTCCAATACATGGCAATCCAGGCCATCAAAAAGAGGAAACAATTGACAGCTCGTGCATTTCATGACGATCGAGACCGTAAGGGGCTTCGAAACGACTCACTCAATTATTTATTGTAATATCTAAAATGAATCTGGGATATCAGAGCAGCGAGCAGCCTTATTGCAAATGTTTTACGAGCCCTTCAAGTCTCTTTTAATGTGCATACGCAGAATACGACCTCATCAGTAAATTAGCTTGAGTGATTTGAAGCCGCACTCACCGAATTGGTGAACGAATGCGGGCCAGCCAACTGCCACATACGTATGGCCCTTTCTGGGCCACAGTTTGGTTCAATTGGCGTCGCATGACAGGCTGGGCACGATTCAGTGGACGCTCTGACAGTTGTTGCTGTCTCGTATTTTGTGGGAGGCCATTTCAGTACGCTTTCCGAGCAGTCGCTTCGAAACATCAATGATTGCCCCTCAGATCGGAACGCTGTGGCCCAAAACCAAACAACGGACGCCCGGCCACAATGCACAGCTGCGCTGCCCGGATAGTCCGGCCAGGGCGTGGCGAGTTCGTGCACGAGAAAATCAGCTTCGATCGTGTGGGACGGTCTGCATGATTTGTACGTGATGACCGACGGACAACTCGTCAGGGGAAACAAGCTGACAAAGAGGCGGCCGTGTGCGGCATTTCAAGGCACGCTAAAAGTTTCTGAAAATATTTGCCCGTGGAGTCGACATTGTTTCAGTCGAATGTGAATTCAGGGTTGCCTTGAATCGGAGTCTTTGAAGGAATCCATGCTTCGCGAGGAATCAGATGCCAAGCCATTCCTGGGAGTCATTTTTTAAATTTCTGAGGAGAACGTCGACGCACAAGGGCACGAAAAAAAAACGCACCCTGCGTCGAACAGTGCGGCGTCACGCAAACAACAGTGACTGCAGGACCATTAATGCATCCACACGAACATGAAGAAGGCGTTTCTCTGAAGAATACCAATCGCCAGAACTTACAGAGTCGTCAGACCAATGCATTCGAAACATTAATGCGGGTCCCAACCAAAAGGATCCAAAGATGCGCCTTGCTTCAAAAGAATTCCATTCAAGTTTCGGAGCATTTTATTTTGTTTACTTTTGGAGCAAGATGAAGACCCATCGATAAACAAACCAAAGCAAAATAAAACGGCAAAGGCTTACCGAGTGTGGTGAGGTTGACGAACTGGATGACGGCGCAGTCGTCCCTGACCTCCAGGTAGGTCAGCTCGCACTTGTACAGGCTCTCGTCGTCCGGCCGCAGGTTTCGTATCTCCAGCTCCGTCGTCGACGAACCCTTCGCGTACTCAAAGTAACCCCTGAAAGACGACACATCGACATTGCCGCAGCAGTGGCGTTTGCGGTGGAAGCGAAGCAGATCGTAGCAAAATAGCAGTCTGTTCTGATATACGATGCAACCGGGATAATTGATTGTCATATTGTGTCTGTGTCATGGGATGACGAAATTTCTCAAGCTTCAAAGGAAAAGTTGAGAGCAAGAAGGGACCAAAAGGTTAAAATGACAAGGAGATATCTTAAAGGGCAAACACAGCAGGATGACAAAGACGTAAGCTACAGAGTAAACACAGCAGAATGACAAGGACGTAGATTAAACAGCAAACACAGCATGATGCCAACTGTGTAAAGGCTAATTCACAGTTCCCAAAGCGATTGTTGCTGGAAGCAGTTAGTAGAGGCGCACTGGGCTTACCCATAACATACCATAAGGCAATGCAACATTGACATACAACTGGATGTAGCTGATTTCCTAAAACGTTTTACATTCCAGTACTCACACACTCCCTCATTCAGCACGGTTTTTTTGGCGACACAGAACCAGATAAAATCACGCGTGACATTCATACCACATGACAAGACAATGGACGTTCTTTGTCCACGGTGGGGGGAAGCGCAGACTTGTCACACCCATCTGCCACGGGCCTGGGGAGGCGAGGCAAAGCGCGTTTCGAGTGTCGTCGGAGATCTCGTGACTGGAGCGTCGCCACTGCTGGACGCGCAATCCAATTCTCGGAAGAGCGGTCCGAGCTCATAAACGTTGTAATTGCCCTACTTCCGTCCGCGCCAACCGACTCTAAGACTCTTCAAAGGTTTTTAAAGCGAGGACACTTCCTCAGACACTTCGTCCATTTGGCGCATTAATTTTGTTGTCTGAGAAGAACCTAACGAAACTGAAAGGAAAAAAATTGAACCTGAATTAAAACGCGGCATATGCATTCCATGAGGTAGAAAGTGCTCCAACTTTGACAGCTATGCAGATATTTGTCAGCTTTAAAGCTTACGATCGGGAGCTGTCGTATACTTCACCTTTATGTTACCCTTATTTGTTGATTTACGTAATAGCGGATGCGGATGTGTATACAACTTAAATACGCCATACCAGTACAGACATGTACGACCGTGGCTTTCGTGCGTTCTAGCTGCTCTCTTTGCCGTCATCAACAACTGCAGTGCACGGGTGAAACAGCCGCAGGCACCACACACGTCATCACCCTTGACGACATACGATGCGTCATGCGAAACCTTGCATGCTGTCATGATCTCCATGTGATCCGCAAAACTGACGATCAGGCAATACAGCAAAGGTCGGTCCTGGAAATACAGCCGGTTCTGCCAAGACCGGCTCGCGTCGATTTGCGCCGGAGACCGAGTGCTCGGCCACCTAGCCCCTCCTCCTCTACCCTCCCCCCCCCCCCCCAACACACACCGCGCTATTCCATTTACGTAATCGACGGGCGCGAGCTGGGCGGCAAGAGACACTGACAACGCATCGATTCCGAAACACAGTCGGATCCGGTGCATCCATCACGTTATTTATGGTGCGCGCGGCGACTCTGCGGTCGAGATTTGTCGAGACAAATGGGGCGCTGATAGGACAGGCTATGCGCGACGCCGGCCAAAGCGAGCAGCGCCGGCCCACAGCGGCTGCCAAGTGTGGTTCTCCTCTCAGCGCTTGAAGACAAGAGTTGAAGGGCCACCTGGGAGCGATTTCCCCGGAAATGCGTCCTGAGAGGACGCTGCAACTCTGCTGCAAATGAAAGGCACAAGGTGAAAGATGCGCTTCCATAAACAAGGGCGCCGAAGGGGCATCACAACTATCAACAAGAATGTTGCGGTTAAATATTCGGTGAACGTCACTTGCACTGGGCATACCTTTGAAGAGCGCGGAGTTGCCCCGATCGCGTTATTTTATCCATATCCAGCAAGCCGTTCTGTCATCACCTGACCTGGAACATGTTCTCGCTACAGAACAACGTTTTCTGAGTTGCCCTGATCGCGTTATTTTATCCATATCCAGCAAGCCGTCCTGTCATCACCTGACCTGGAACATGTTCTCGCTACAGAACAACGTTTTCTGGTGCCGAGCTGCCGTTGGGTGTGCTCACCTTTGGAAAGCACACCCTCATCTTCTTCTCCATCTTCATCTTCCCAAGGTCGTGTGCTCCCTACCGAAAGGCTAACAATATCTTCATCCGTTCCGGAAAATGGCCTTTCCATTAGCCAAAGTTATTCAGTTATCACCTGATCTGGAGTGTGCTTCCCTGATCGCGATTTCCGTTCTCACCTGCCCTGGAGCATGTTCTCGCTGGTGTCGACCTTGGCCAGTTCGGAGTAGATGAAGACGCGGGTGTCGCCATCGCCGCGGTACCACTGGATGTTGTGCACGTCGCCGCACTTGGTCTCGTCTATCTCGCAGGGCAGCCGCACCTCGTCCCCCACCAAGCCGGTGATGTCGATCTGCTGCACCCGACCTGCAGAACAGCACACAGGTTCAAATAAGATGGATGGTGTCACCCCGCCACCCAAACACGCTCTCGGGCGGCGGGATCCACTTGCCTCCGAAGTTTTTTGAATATTAGCTTTCAAATGGCGCGGTATAGCCACGCTCAACTCTGGAAAACTGTAGTTAATTGAATGATTCATCTTTCGACACAAAAACTTGGATGTACCTCTTAAGGTCGTTGACCTATAACAGGTCAAAGTCAGGCGATGACAGTAGCGAACGAAAATCCAAGGAAATCTTTCAATGTAATGCAACAACAAAACGTTAGGCGAAGCCATCTTTAAGATGTTTTTTTACAAAAAGACAGTTAAATCTGGGGTCAAACATGAAGGCCAGTTAGATGGCCAAACCAAATTGCTTTTTACTGGAGATCTTGCTTAAAGACGTGGTTTTTGACGGTCATTCAACTCAGTCTTTTTATCACAAAGACAACACACATTTCATTTGAACTTCACGAAGGTCATAGGACGTCACTGACCTAAAATTACCCCGATCAAACTTTTTTTAAAGAACATACCAGTCGATATAATCCATGACTCACTCTTAAAAATAAAACACGGAGAAAAGTTTTATGGGACTTTTGGTCAACGTGACCTTCTGAGGGTCCAAATTATGTTCCTGAACTGAAATGAACTTCTATTTCACTGCGCAGGAACCACGCAAAATTCTGCAATATTAATATAATGACAAATACATTGCACTAAGGGTCATCCATAATACGACTTTTTCGGCATCCACGCCATCAGACGCGAAGGTGAAAACACATGGACATTACCAACGGTGATAAAAACAGCGTAACAAATGCATCTCGACCGGAGCTAAGCGCCTAAGCTGTTCTTAAAGACCAGAGCGTCAACAGTGGAAGACAGGCGAACGTCTGATGGCAGCGAATTCTACATGCGAGCCGCTCGAGGAAGATAATCGGCGTACAACGTCGATGCGCGCTCGCGGGAGCTGTAACACACCCTCAGCTGTGGCCCGAGTGGCACGCAAGGACGCAGAGGCGCGACCGACGACCCACCCGTTCGCGCAACGCCATATCAGGTATTTTAGGCCAACCCAACACAAGCAGTGCCGGTGACACTTAGACGTGAATATTTAGGTTAGGATAATCCGGGCACGGCCGGCAAGTCCCGCAAGTACAAACAGACTCAGATAACGCGATGAAATAATTATCACTAGTACGTGGAACCAGAGCCCGATGCTTGCGAGGAACTACTGGGAACCAGGATAACCAGCTGGAACTAAGAACTAACACTTTGTTTTTCTGAGAAAAATAACTTATGGGAACCAGGAAGCAGGCTCTCGTGTTTGTGAAAGAACCAATGACGACCAAGACTCATTGTCTGATATTTGCGAAAGAACCAGTGGGAACCAGGGCCAGCATCTGATGTTTGACAACGAACAAGTGAATATCAGACACTAACGCCTGATATTCGCAGAAGAGCCTACAAAACCAGGCGGTGCTTACGAAATGACTACTAAGAACCAAAATTGAATTGTCAGTTTTAACGAAGCGCCAGCGGGAGCCTGGAACCAAGATCGTGAGCCAGACACGTGCCTGCCAGCTGATTACTGGTCAGCAAATCCGAACGCTGTTGCTGCCCAGCCGTGCTAGGAGGGCACTCCGTGACATAACCTCTCACTGAGGGACGCGCGGGACGCGCGATCAGACTGATATTATTGACGTTTAGCCGCGGACAGTCAAGCTAATCTTAGCTGCGGAAACTCGCTCGAGCTTATCATGAGTTGTGATCAGAGGCAGACCTGGAATGCCCGATGTTTCCGAAGAATTTAAAAGTTTCCGGTCTACCAATGCAGGTTTTGCAGGAAGACTCATCAAGTCGTGCGTTCGATTCCGAATTTTTTCATCCCCATCACTAAAGCGCCAAACCACTTCGACTAGATCAGTGTAGTTTGGCGACTTTTTCCCGACTGTCAGTTAGACAAATGTGCCAAAATGCATATGTTCTCAAAAAAGATCGGCACGCCACATCGTCCACGATTGGCTCCTGGTTTAATCAGGGGTGGGTGGGGGAGGGGGGGGGGGATATGCCAATACCAGGCCTTTCTAGAAGCATGCATTGGTAGGACACTCCTGCACCTGAAAACCAATGTATGAAGGAAATATGTCTTCAGATGATCAGACAGGAATGTATCATTTATAATCATTTACTGCGTCTATTTAAGACACCGCATTGCCATAAATCGGTGCGTAGTATATGGGACGATAGTACCGATATGCTATGTAGGCATTGGTTTTCTTACGAAAATCGGTGTACGTTTACTCACATAATAGTTGTTAGCCTGTTCTCAGCCATAATCTCGAAGCTTAATGCACAAATACTGCAAAGATAGAGGAAGGAGTTCATGGGTAGATAAAGAGGCATCAAACGAAAACGGCTCAGTTTGAGCCACTGCGAATAGGCTGGCTATTGATAGTTTCTGTGGCATCCCACCGGAGCTCTGATATGGCAGAGGTAGATGATCCAGGCAATCAGTCAACGAAGAGGTACCAAATTCGTAAATGTGGGGAATGGGGGCGGCTACTTGGATTTGTTCGTAGCTCAAGGTCTTAACAAACATGCACGTTCTTCCGCCACGTTCTTAAGTCCCATAACTTCAATCACATGGTGCATTGTCATTTCGGTGCGTAACTTCAAATCGTTTGAAAGGTGTATGGAAAGTTTTATTTGGATCAAACAGTAGACCCTCATTTGTTCCATTCTTACTCTCCCGAGTCGGCCGATGATTCTTCTAGAACTTCTCTTAAAATGAAAACTTGTTCAGACCGCAAACTTCCTTTTGAACTTCCGTTTGAAAAATGATTGTTACAATCTGTTCAGCGGATTATGGGACTTCTGGGGTGTGGCCAGAGGGAAAAATACTCTCGCTCAGGTATCGAAGTAAAATTCACTGCATGACGACAAGTGACGCAGTGTCAACTTTAAGCTCTGTCATAGAAAATGGAATCTAAAGAGGACTTCACATTTCTGGTTTATCTCATTCATCATTACACCTTGCCATATGTTTCTAAAGTACCCGGCTAGGCCAGGTGGTCCAAGGCCAATTACATTTGGAACCACATTTTGAACGATTAATGATCTATGTCATGATCTGGTTTGACATGGTCTAAGTAACACGAGCGCTAAATGACGCAACTTGACGGGTCCGGTCTTGTTTGTTTCGTTGCCTCGCAACGCTTCGTTCTTTAGGTAACAGGCTGGGCTGCATGCATAAAAGGCTCACTCTGCATAACCTGATTCGGCACACCACAAGTCGAACTAACTGAGGTTTGCCTTCAGTGTATGATTCAGTGTCCCGGGACCATGCGAGATGGTTTATCCTGCTGCAAGCATACAATTTATCTTGGTGAGAAGAGGCCCGACTTCACCGATTTTACCTTGTTTTCCTGACTAGTCCATCAGAGGTCACTTGCACTGATGCCCAATGACACCAGCCCAGTGCGGCTTTACATGAAATACCCGATGCCGTCCTCCGCTTTGTTCTAACTTCTTTAGCTTCCGGGATATAAGGAAGGCCCGCGGTGACCTGAGGCTACGTCGTCCAGCAAGGATGAGAAAAACGGGCGGACGGCGAGGGCTAATTAATGCAATTAATGAACGGGCTACATGCTAGTTAAGATAATCAACCGCTGTACGGAAGTCGGCTAATGCTGTGTTATCACGGGTCATCGCACACAATCTTACGGTGAACACAATGTCGATAAACAAACTAAGTGGCAAGCGATAGCGGAAGAACAGAACTACGGATCATTCATTGATGCATGCACATGCATGCCTGAAGCAAAATGTACCTTGATAATGTCTCGCAAACTTCTTGCAATGTCGACCATGATGATAATTTAATGCCCGAAAAGCTACCATTCTTTTAGCTACCCTAGATCGTTTCTGTACCGATGCAACCCACACCTTCTGTTGGACTCGAAACTCGGTCAACAACTGATGCATGGACCAGCTTTTTAAACTATGAAAAAAGCGACTGTTTTCAAATGGTTCCTCACATTGCATTCGACACGACGCGGAAATTAAAAAGTCAACCTGTCGAAGTGCAATTTAAAAACAGATGCGCTAAGACGCAGTGTATGTGTAAAGGTCATAGTAGCAAACCTGAAAAAATCAAGGTGTTTTACACACATGCATATAAAACACTTAGTATATATATATATATATATATATATATATATATATATATATATATATATATATATATATATATATATATATATATATATATATATATATATGCATACATTTAACGATAAGTATAGGCTTGGGAACCTCAGCCAGCAAGCAGCTCATATCTCCTTCCCCGAGTGGGTTTGTGTATACGCAACATATTTCGGTGAAAGTACAGCTCGACAACATATACAACGTGGCGTCACATATATCCCAATCTCGGGTCGGGCACACATGTACCCACTCATTCCACGCAGATCTGGGCGCACACACACCCTTGATTTAACGAGGACATCAAAACAAGTGCAAGCTCAACACATACTGGTGGCAATTATGAGCTTCTTGCGGTGCCGACCGTGGGACCCAGGCCCGCAAATTCAATTAGTATCTTGTGCACACTGCGCATAGGGCAGTAATTGTTTTCCCACCATCAGTCCATCAAAACACTCGTGAGAATGACAAACAATTCTCAGGAATTGTCTGCGACCACCTCAACGCGATGTGAAATGCGAGGGGCCAAATGCATTGGTAAAACACGGATTATACCAACGACATCCCACAATCCATGGTCGTAATGCGTTGGTTCGGTTAACGCGGTATTTTCAGTTGTAACTATTCTCTGTTCTACTCGAGCACTTGTTTATTCCCGTATAACACATAAACGACTGAACTTAAATGCAACGAAAACTTGAAACATTCGTGTACAACTTGCTTGGATGAGAAATTAAGCATGACAAGAGCGCTAATCGCCACATGGTCCTACATTTTT